CCCTCACTAAAGATTGTAATTGGCCTTGGTAGCCTATAATCTTGTGCACTAAAATCAAAGCTTGAAATGAGGCAGAGCAGTACGACATCTCAGCATTCCTGTGGGTATTGTTGCATCATCAACATCATGTGCACATAATCCACCCACCTACCCTTTTCCATTCCGAGAGTGTCTGCTTCCTCACACAGTTATTACTCCCACATGAGTTTGCCCTTCCCTCTCCCAGCTTCAGTCATAACGTTCGCTGATTTCTGGACAGACTAAAAACAACAGCTGCTTCCCTTTGGGCTTTAAACACCATTTAGGGTTGTTGGTTTGTTTGGGTTTTTTTTCCCCTTTTGGATAAAACTAAACCTTATAGAGGTATAAATACCCCAAAACAGACAGATATTTGTATAATGAAGTAGAACTCTTTACTAATATTAAATGCATCTAACATGTAGTACATTCTTGTATATAGGCAATGGTTTTAGTCACGAAGTTCTGAAACAATATATCAGTTTAATTTACACTGAAAATATTTAATTCCCCCTAACTCTGACTTGCTGTGTGATCAATGTGGTAGCATTGAGCCTTTTTTTCCTTTTTTTTTTGGTATTAATGCTTTGCAATTTGTTCATACATGGCATTCTTACTGTCAGAATCCTGTCACACAGAATGTTCTTGGTAATGCTGTACAACCACATTACTGATAACAGCATCCTAGAAATAAAACTCCTGCTAACCCTGATAAAGAGAGAAGTTCTGACTTCAAAGGTTTTGTCTTTATTTCTCACCCTCTAGCTCTGTTTTAATTGGCAATAAATTAAATTAATTTTCTCCAACTTGAGTCTTTTCTCCAGTCTTAAGTCTTGACTAGAAAGGCAAAAATTTACTCGTGTCTCAGTGCTGGCCCACTTTCCACTTCTCCTATGATTTTTACAGTGTTCTCACTAGTTTCCTGACCTGTCAGTTATTTCTTTCCAGTTTTACTTATGTTGGTTTTCTGTATTTGTCTTATAAAGTCTAGTCCTTTGGTACATTCTCCAGGCATATGTAAACAATTCAGAATAGTTCACTCAAGCCAGTCCAGACATGACGACATACTCAAAATCCATACTTCATTGCTATGCCTTTTGGTGGTGTATTTATAAAGTATATTGACTTCCATAAAGAAGTGTCCCACAATACTTGCACCAAAGCCCTCTGCTCCTTTATTTATGCCTATACAGAGGTTTGTGTGATGATGCAGTAAACAGGATCACTAAAAAGAAATGGATTAGAAACACTTACCTTTTTTTTTTTTTTAAGTATCAGAAAAAAAAAAAATCAACTAGAATAAAATTCATCTTCTTATTTCTGGGAGATAATTTTGAAAGGTAAGCACAATGAAGAATCTAAGATATACATATTATTTTCCATAAAAATAATCTTAAAATATCTGCATTCTTTGCAGTGCTATTAAACATAAATGGAGAGGGAGTCCAGGACTACATGGTGTAGTTGCAAAAGGGCATGCTAGCCACAACATCTCATTTCTGATATTGCAGTCACTCTACACTTAAACTCCAGCTTAGATCTAGACAGTTTTCCTTAATCTTTTCATGCAAGCAATAACATCAGCAAAAGCTTACCACGATAAACTTACTGCAAATTTCTTTTTCCAGCCCTAACTTCCTGATGTTTTTGAAAGGCCAGTGTAATTGAGAAGTGGTTGGAATAGTTTGTGTGCTTTCCACTGCAAAACACTAAAATCTCCAGAATTATAATGAAAGGGTATTTATAAAGTAGAAGTTACAGCCAACTGCTGTCTCTATCTCAAAATATAATCAGAGTGCATGAAATGTGCTCTATGGCCTCTGTGGTGCATAGTTTTATACTATTAAGTGTAGCTTCAAAATAACAGAAACTGATATTGATGGGATCTGTTCTTGATTGTGCACAACAAGGCAGCCAGGAATGCTTAAGGAAACTGAAACAACAGTAAAAGTAAATTAAAGATCTAGTTGCAGGCCACAGATGACTCTTATTTCTCCTACCACGTTTTCAGTAAAAATTTGGCAGGTTAGTAACCTTACTTAGCATCTTTAATGGTCTCCTGAGTATGTATGCTATGATGAGACAGACTTAACCAAAAAATTGTTTCAGGCTGCTAAACTATATAAACTAGTGTAATTGCATTGACTAAGCTGAATAAGTCAGCAAGTGTCATACTGGATCCAAAGATTTAGTAATTGTTAAGAGAGGTGCTAATAGGTAGATTTATTAAAAACTACCATCAAAAGAAGGCTTGACAGGAAAAAAGGATATGTGAATAAAATATATTATTGATATTAAGCAGAGCGCTAATTTTCACATGCTGCAAAAATTTACACAAAGGATTGAAGGAAGGACTGTACAATGTGATCACTCAGGCCTCAAACATTGTTTAAAAACCATCCACAAAATAGTGTACATCTTCATAATCTGCATAGATCATTATATGGATAGCAATAAAAGCTTACAACATGGAAGGAATCTCTTGCTTATACAGTAGATTTACAGGATGAACCAAATGAAAAGGCTATTTTTCCATTTTACTATCAAAGCAAGAAAAACGGAGTAACGAAATTAATTTTCAGTTTCAAAACAATTTACTGCACATTATATACCAAAACCAAAATGTGTAATTCTGTGCAAGTTTTTCTTAGAACTATGGAGACATTTCTAGTTTGATTCTTAAAGGAGCTTTTAAATATTCATGTGCACTACAAGCTATTACCATTTCCTATAGGAGGCACATAAGCATTGTGAAGTTCAGCACAAAACTACTGGTTTGTTACACAGCCACTTGTTTTGTTCAAGGGACCTGTTTAGTCTTTTAGGTTACACATACATATGAATAAGCACTCAGGTTTTTTTATTGCTCATGTTCCTCAAATATACTTCAGTGTTTCACTTCTAACACTGAAGCAACTTAACCCAAACCAATTTTTGAAGCAGCTGCTTTTAATTGCAGCAAAATCCATACTCTGCTGCACTGTTGCTATCAAAAGTTTTGCTTAACTTACTGGGAAAAACCCCAAAGCTATTCAGTCCAAACCAGAGATGTCTTTTAGATTTTGCTGGGATCCATGAAAACAGAGTCCTGAAAGGCTACATCTACATTGCTTTCTTACATTATTTCTGAGAGCTGCCACAGTAGACTCCTGTAAATCTCAAGGGACTTACAGACCACACAAGTTTTGTCCCAACATGACACAAGTGGCACCGTCATGACTGGTATGTGCCTCACCACTTCTTAGACAGTCTCCTATACCCTCCAAACATTTGCTCTCTCCTAAAGACATTTGCAACAGCTATAAAGTGTACGTAAGGTGGCTGTTAGGCTCCTGCTTTTGAGCAGCACAGTCACAGCCCCAGGCACTGAGAAGGATGTGCTTGTGTGTGGCTGCTTATCTAGCTGGTGTTCACAATTCCTGCTACAAAAATGGGTTTTGACTTCAGCAAGAGAAAGAAGTTCGACACTCAGTCCTGACTTTGGCCAAGAAATCTCTTGGGCTTATCACAGACGAGTAAATCTAGGAGACAGAAGTAAATCAGGACAATGTGGACGTCAAGAGAGCATCAAGGACAAAGAGGTTGCATCCTGACATGACGGCTCATGTTCACACCTGTGTACACTGCTGCCCAAACGCCCAAAATGCTTCCAGTTGCTTGGCATTGTCTTCCACAGTAGGCATGGGCCAATCTGTGGTTATGCATACACAAGTTCTTCACTGACATTTATGTTCTGGCCAGTCTGAAGCAGACAAATGAGCCTACTAAGAGAAGGCAGGTTGATTCAAGTGTCATGTCTTATAGAAATAACACAGTGTTCAGAGCACTGCTGCAGCAGGACTCAACACCTGATGTCTCTGGTTCTGGATGCCTTCCAAACACCCTTTGTGCTGTGGTCTGAAAACACAGTGCCAACACAGCTGAGGCTTCCCACATAGCTCACAGAACTTTAAATATACAGCATAATATGTCTGAGGGACTTGTGGTATACCCAAAGGTGATTGGGAGGGGAATCTGGCAGTAGCTACTACTCATGACCGCAGAGAATATAATCACGCCTATGGTGAAAGTAAAGAGCACTTGTCAGTCATGTCATGAGATTTTTGCCCCTTCCCAGAACCTGACTGCTGTTTTAAGTCAAGAAGTGATGATAATTACTTCTTTGTCCATGTCTGTGCTGGTGCCATACAAAGAGGAAGGAGATAGAAACTAAGAGCAAGGTCTATACCAGTGGACCTTGGAGGCTGGTTTACCTTTAAATCTAGTCCCCCACAGCCTCTGTCTGGAAGCTTGAAGGACTTGGTTCACCTGAATATGTGCATTCAGGAGGACATGGACCTGATCTCCAAGGACTTCAGGGATAAGAACAAAACTGAGTTTGACATCTGACAGAGAGCCTTGATAAGCTCTTACTTTGAGGGTGACAGAGCACTGGAACAGGCTGCCCAGAGAGGCTGTGGAGTCTCCTCTGGAGATATTCAAAACCCACTCAGACGCATCTTGTGCAACCTGTTCTAGGTGAACCTGCTTTAGCAGGGTGGTTGAAATAGATGATATCCAGAGGTCTCTTCCAACCTCTACCACTCTGTGGCACCATTCTGCAATAGCCAGTTTTTAGGAAAGAAGCTACAGGCTTGGAATCAACAGAACTCAGAAGTCAGATAGGAAAATACCAAAAGCTGCTAAGAAGATCAGACAAGATGTAGCTTGGGTTAAAAGTATCTGTAGGCAATTTTTGGCTTTGAACAATCCAAAACTGGAAGCTCCATTTTTTTGAGGCACTCCTCAGATTTGCTTTAATTAATCTGTACAAAGGAGGTGGACAGGGGTATTTCAACAATGAAACCTCCTTTTATCAGAAACTATTGAAATTTATACATAAATACAATCATTAATCCATAGATATCACAATCTGAAATGATGGGTTTTGATTCTTTTGTCCCAAAATATAATTCAGAAACACCAATGAAAGTAGTACTCACTTATTTTGTTTCTCACTCCATTCAATTTTTCTCCAAGGCATTTTGCTTCTAGAAACCTGTCAATGCAAGCATAATGACACAGAATTATTCTAAAAAATAACTAGTTAAACTAGCTGTTTACAATAAAATACAGAATAACTCAGGACTGCTTTTGATTTCTAAGTGTAACTAGTTGAAAACAATTTTCCATCAGAAAAGATTGTGTCGTCTAAATAAACCATGCAAACAATAGGTTTACTGGACAAAAATTTATTTGATTTTTCAGAATTGAAATAATTTTTAAAACTTAACAGTTGGATTATCTTAAATTTTAATATGCTAGTTTACTTGCAATGTTTTAATATGCAGCTGTATAAAACAAAAAAAAAATAAATCCAAGAAAAGTTAAGACAAAATATTTGAAAGTTTTAGAACTTCTGCTCATCAGGAATTTTCAATTTTCAGCCTGTAATTTCCATATCACTGATGATCACTGTGCTGTGTGAAAATGTACGTACCAGTCACTAAGAAACTTCTCAACAGAAAGCTTAGACAGTGTGGCAAAACTAAATTGTTCTGTTTGTCTACAGATAGTCCTTATGTGAACGCAGACTTCTGGATGATATTCAATTACTGCTCAAATACAGATCTAGCCAAACAAAGATATGCAAACAGCAAGTAAGAAGCAGGCTGAAGAGGATGGGTACAAATCAATGAATAAAGGCCAAAGCCTTTAAAAAAAGGCTAAAAGAAAATCCCTTTTTGTAGTATGTAAATAGCTTAACCTCAAATCAAAACTGGAAATCATCTTTTTTTAGAATGTGAAATTCCCATCAGTTATGTTTCTAAAATAATTCACAGACCACTTCCTTATTACATTCAAATAATCAAATCTTCATATGGTATGTGAAATATTCTAACTATCAGAAATTTCTTTTTTACAATTGCTCACTGTATGTTTTGGTCCTTAAGGAAATATGTAAGTAATATCCTTAAAAATCAGCTGCTTAAAGAGCCTTACAAAGTCACTTATAATCTCCACATTCCCTAAAGTTGTCTAGAACTTGATGCCTTCTTCTTTTGTGCTTTTTTTCTGTCATTTTTCTGATCTTTTAGAGCAGTTGCTGTCAGTTATTTTCTTGTCTAAACTTTTTAGGACAAATAGCATATCAGGATATCAAATGCCAGGTATATTCTGCTGTAAAAATAATTACAATTAATTCAGTGTACAATGGAAAAGTCTGAAGAATCTCTGAAAGAACTGAGGCTTGTTCAAGGAAATATCTATTGTAATTGTCTAAATAGTAATGTAGAAGGATGATTTGCTGCATTGTGACATTTGTTGTAGGGCATTAGGCTTGACATGAAATTCTGCATCACTGTGTGGACGTGTACAAGTTGAACCTTGCTGAATGTGGAGGCAGAACTGTAAAACTTAATTGTTAAGCAAGCCTTCAGCTGATCTGGAGGTCTCTTGGTCTAGTCAAAGTAACTGAGGAAATCCACATATTGTATTTCTGTTTAACTCAAATAATGGCAAAACAGAGTAGAGAAATAAGACCTTCCCCCAGGGAGGCGGGGTTTGATAAATTGACCCTTCTCAATTAGTCTATTTTCCTGTAAAACTGGAACCAGTTAGAATTTCAGGTGTTTACATTCATGTCTGCTCACAAATACTCGCTTTCAAGGCTGATTTCAACATGGCTAAATAGCTGAAGCTGGAGGGCTCCTCAGCACTTAATGTTTTTTACATGAAGGCAGGAGTCTTAGAAGCATCTGTGAGACTTCTGTGTAAGCTTTTTCCATGGGTAAAGCAATCAAGCAAAACTCAAGATTGTGCAAAGTGCAAAGGGAAACACCCCAAAGTACTTCTCTCCTTCCCTCAGCTCCCATGAGCCAAATCATAGAATCATAGAATCCTTTAGGTATACTAAGTCCATTGATTACTTTGTAATTCCTTAGGGAAATCTCCTGTTGACTATTGACTCTGATTTGTGTTCACAGAGAAATTTAGCTGGACAAATTCAAGCCAGCTATCTATTCAGCTCTTATTCCAAGGTTACTGCTAATAGTTGTATGGGCCATGCACTGGTTTCTCAAACACCACAGTTTATAAACTGGTACAATAACAAACTGAAATTTGGCATTCATTTATGAGAGTCCAACAAATTCCATCTGCGACTATGACTTATAATCAAACAAAATAAATCAGATAAAGACATAAGATTTGAATCTAATATTGAAAGAGAAAAGGCTATTTCTGACAGCCCTGTGATATAAAGGTGATATTATCTAGCATAGTGGTGATATTGCTATGAATAGTGATGAGTGAAAAATTACATTGTTAGCTGGAAAGAATTAATCTGTATCCTCCACAAAAAGGCTGAAGTTGCCAAATCATGTCTTCTATTACCTACAAGATATACATTCTATGATGAAGCCTCAAAGTGTATATAGCCACTAATTTTAGTGGAACAAACATTTCCCCCAACATCTCACTCAAAGAATGCAAATGCCAGTAATTAAACAAAAAAGATTTTTCAAAACAAATCTCTAATTCATGATGTAAACCAAGACAAACCCAGAGGCTGTCTAATAAAAGTATGGAGACATTTAGTGAATTAAAAGAACAGTCACTGATTTTTTTATTATTAGACATTACAACAAGTGATCTAAGTGAAACTCATCCTTTCCGTGAAACTCATCCATACATTCTGAAAAAACAAGTTAGCTGCTAACCAGCTTAAACACAGAACACAAGGAAAGAAGAAAGTGGAAAAAATTAATGGAGAACAAAATGGAAACTAGATTTACATCACATCTGTGAGCTAAGTAGAATTTTACTACTGGAAATAGTGACTAGGATGGGACTTAAAAGCTTTGTGCAGTATGCAATATTACACTGGAGTGGTCCAGCTGGGAAGATTTCTTGGTAGTGTATTTCACCAGAAAATGAGATGAGTTTTTCTCCTCCTCAGAGCTACAATACTAAGAGAACATGGCTGGATTGAGAAACAGGATATGATTAAGTTCTCTGGAAGTCAAATATAGGAAGTCCAAATTGCAGAAATCTGATTCTGCCTGGGCATAAACACAGATTTTTTTTTTTTTAAGCAGCAGTTATTAACATACGGCAGAAAAATGGAAAAGAATTGCTTTGTATTTGTATAAGCTGTGGAAGATCACTTTTTCTGTCTCACGAGGCAACTTCCCATAGGCAACTATCCAATCAGGATATCTTGAATCTATTGTCTTTCATTTGAACAGTAAGTCAGTAAATGAACTTCAGAGATAAATTATGCTTAACTATATAAGCTTCCCCACTTTCAGTCTCGCCATGACACTCACCTCAGCAAGACACAGGTGAAGACAAACATCTGAGAGTTCATTAGGATACTGCCTAGGAATGTATGATGTTAGACCAGACATCCCAGGCTTGCATTGAGAACTTGGTACAAAAACTTTGCCTTTTCTTACTGGGGATGTTTCATATTCAGAAAGCACTGGGTGGTGACAGGATAAGTCTGGATAGAATAAGAAATTGGCATGAGTGCAGGGTCCTGCACCTGGGCTGAGTCAATCCCCCAGGATCAACAGAGGCTGGGGGATAAAGGGATTGAGAACAGCCCAGAAGAGAAAGACTTGGGGATACTGGTGGATGAAAAGCTGGACATGAACTGGCAATGTGTGCTTGCAGCCCAGAAGGCCAACTGTATCCTGGGCTGCATCAAAAGAAGTGTGGCCAGCAGATTGAGGCAGGTCATTCTGTCCTTCTGCTGTGCTCTAGCAAGATCTCACCTGGATTGCTGCATCCAGCTCTGGAGCCCACAGCAGAGAAAAAACATGGACCTGTTGGAGGTGGTCTAGAGGAGGAACACAAAAAAGGTCAGAGGGCTGGAAGACCTCTCCAGTGAAGAAAGGTTGGGTGAGTTGTTCAGCCTGGAGAAGAGAAAGCTCCAGGGAAATCTTAATGCAGCTTTTCAGTACTTGAAGGGGGCTTATAAGAAAGATGGGGACACACTTTTTAGCAGGGCCTGTGGCAATAACAGTTTTAACTAGAGGACAGTAAATTTAGACTAGATAAAAGGAAATTTTTTACAATGAAGGTGGTGAGCCACTGGAAAAGGTTGCCCAGAGAGGTGGTAGATGTCCCACCCCCAAAACATTCCAGGTCAGGTTGGATGGGGCTCTGAACAACCTGACCTAGTTAAAGATGCCCCTGCTCATTGCAGAGGGTGTGGACTAGATGACCTTTGAAGGTCCCTTCCAATCCAAACTATTCTATGATTCTATGATAATTAGCAAGCCAAGAAAATCTACCCAAAATACCCAAAGGAAAAAATAAAACAGCTAAAAATAAGTAATTTGTGAACCAAATACTGTTTGTGGTATGACAGAAGTGGTTATGCAACTATAAACAAAATTATTAACATGAGAGGCTCACATATAAAGGGAAGCTATGGTAACCTTTAAACATGTGGTATCCACACACTTCTTCCTGTGCAATTTGAACACTGGCTGGATAACAAAACTTTTGTGTAACTGGTAGTTCAGAGGCTACATTCCAAATTACAGACTGGACTTGATATAAACCCATTCTAATGAACTCAGTAAACTTGGAGCTATAGCCATCTTTGCTAAAAACGACTGCAAAGGGCAGGGGAAAAACTGTCTTGCTCCAGGGTATCAGCATTCACATTAGCACTGATTGCAGCAATCAGCTGATGCATATTAGAGAGGGGTTACCCAAGTCTGACTCTCTTTGTCCTTTAGGGAAAGCAAATCTGGCATCAGACTTTGTGGGTTCTGCCCATCTCTATTACATGTTCTGCAACCAGAAGGAAATACTGGTTTGCTTCATCGTAGTAACAAACAGAGAAAACATGGAAGAATTGTGATTAACTAGAGGAAATGCAGAGCATGACTCAGAACTGTATTGATTCTGTTATCATGCTGTGACCATGAAGTGTTCTGCTCAAGAGGCAGCAATGCCAAAAATGTTTGCAGGGCAATCACTTATGCAATGATGTGCCACCATCTGATATACTGATCAGAAGAAAGACATTAATAAACATCCAATTTAAATGGATAGATTCTTACATATATGTAATACCTTGACAATTTGTGTCCCTGTGGCCAAGTTACAGACCTAGGTAGGAAGTTACTCAGTTCAGAAAAGCGATAAATAGTAAGACTGAATAAGTCACAGAGGTGTGGAGATAATTTCCTGCTTCAGTTTCACTGAAGTAAATAAGACTCAGTGACCCTGCAAACAATGTCTTTTGCACCTATTAGGTGGGAAAACTGTGTTATTAATAAAACAGAAGAAAGTAGGAGAAACCTGAAGAAGGAGAAAACCCCAGGACAAAAAAGGAAGAAGGAAAAATAAAATCCCCAGACTTTTAGGGGAAACATTAATTACAAAAGTAGATTGCTTTTGGCATCTCCAATCTCAAAACCTTGCATTTCTCTTGCAGTACAAGGAAGGTTAGCACTTGAAATGCTGACACTGAAATGGTACTGTTATCCAATTAACATAGACAAGTATTAGTGGTTCAATTTCTGAGATGTTTAAAATCTGCTTTATGAAAATTCATGTGTTCTGTGTGTTGCCGTTCTCACCATATCCTCTAGACAATTTTGAAGTGTTTTGCCAGCATTAGTAATAGCTATGGAGGAGGAAACTATTGTTTCTGGTTTTGAGTGCAAAACTGGTAGAAGGGATCTAAAATCACATGGCAAACAAGTTAGAAACAACAGACAAAAGCATATGTTAAACATCTCCTAGCTTACTGTCCAACTCAGTGCTGAAGCCAGTAAAGCATTTTTGACAATGGAAATTGCAGTAATTCATTCAGTCACATGGGTCTTACTTCCTCTAGATAATTCAAGATCACATTGCTTTAACATGGCTGTAAAGATAAGATGAATAAAACCAAAGGAAATATGCACTAAAATTCCTCATGCTACTTTATTATTCTATCCAGACTTTTATTCTGTCACCACCCAGTGCCTTCTGAATATGAAACATCCCCAGTAAGAAAAGGCAAAGTTTCTGTACCAAGTTCTCAATGCAAGCCTGGGATGTCTGGTCTAACATCACACATTCCTACGCAGAATCCTAATGAACTCTCAGATGTTTGTCTTCACCTGTGTCTTGCTGTGGCACTCACCTCTGTTTCAGAAGCTGTTTGTTGTCCTCAATGGTTATCTTGTCAGCGTGGTCCCGCTTAAAAACTTCAAAAGCCTCCTGGTATCCAAGTGACACCTTTGCTCCTGCCCCAAGAAAAAACCAAACCAAACCAAACCAATCTTTGCTCCTGCCCCAAGAAAAAAACAAAACAAAACAAAAGCAAAAAGAAATCAGCAAAACTATTTCAGAGTCATTAAAAGACAAACATTTTGTGTTTAACTCCTATTTAGACAAAAACAGCAAGTTATTCCACGGGTCTTAAAGCACCCAAAAAACTAAGTTCAGTCTTCCACTAACAGGAAAGCATTTTTGACAGCAGATTTCTCTTATCTGACAAATTAATTTAATTTACTATCTCTAAAGTCTGAATGTTTGAGCTTTATAATTTCTCAAGACAACTTAAAATGTTCCTAAGGAAATCCAAACTTTGAAAATTTAAAATATCTGAAATATTCTTGAGTGTCAGCCAGAGGTATTTTCACAGCAGTAAACTGCAATTTCCTTCAGTATTCCCTGTTTCATATTGGCGCCTAAACAAATGTTGAATATTTTCAGCATTCTTGGAAAAAAAAAAAATATTCAGGCTTCTTTTAATTATGTATTAGTGAGTGATTGTCATGCTGTTTTAAGTGAAGCAGGTATTCCACCTACAAAAAATGGCTGGTTCCTGTATTTTTCATTTTTGTCATAGTATTTGTTTCCTTTTGTGCTCCAGAAGGTCAAGACCTATTTGGCCTTCAAACCTTTTAAAAATTGCTATGGAAAGGTATTACAATATGTATTATTTATCAGTTCTCATTGCTAATTATCTACAAATCCAAGTAAGAAATCAGGCATCTGTGTTATCATTAAAAAAATATTCAAAGGCTTAAGAAGAATGAAGGATTACAACAGCATATGTGCTATGTGCATATATGTCAATAAACAAGCAAGGGGTAAGGATGGGACTTGCACTTAAACTACAGGAATGAAGATAGTTCAGGAGCAGAAAAAGGGAGGAATCTCACATTCAAACACAAAATAGCTCCACGTTTAATACAACCTCATGGTCGCAACTTAAACCTCAAAATTATATTTATTAAATTGGATTTTGATTCTTTGTTTATTTTGCCACTAGAGTCTTCTGTCTTACTCACAAGCCTTCCTTCCTGCTTCAGAGCGATCAATATCCCCACATATATTTTGCACAAGAGCTATACTGTTTTCTGGGAGTTCTGCTCCACAAGAGTTTTCTGTATGTATTGTGCCAATGGACCAGCATTAAACAAAAACATATACGCCAATTATTTTCTGGGCTACCTGCTTTGCAACTTTGGCGTAAGTGGGGATACTATATTAACAAAGGAGCTATACAGTTTTCTGGGAGTTCTGCTGCACAAGAGTTTTCTGTACGTATTATGCCAATGGACCAGCATTAAACGAAAACATATACATATATGCCAATTATTTTCTGGGCTACCTGCTTTGCAACTTTGGCGTAAGTGGGGATACTATATTAACAAAGAATACTTAAACAGGTTGGGATGTACTACTGGGATGCTACACCTTGTTTGGGTCTAGCTCCACAAGCTGCATTTTAGTTAGTCCAAATATGTTCTGCTGCCCCTCATCATACTTACAACAACCCCACTGACTTCACCCAGATTTCAGTTCTGTAAGGTACTGTTTATGGTGAAGGTTGGTAACAAAAACTACCACTCAGGTTTCAATAATCAGTAATAGTTTTTTAAAAATTATTCAAAATACAGCAGAAAAAATTGCCCTCTGTTTCAGTCAAAAGAATTAGCACATCTGTTACTAATCTAAAAACTGTGAGTTGGAAATAGAACCACCAGGAATGTTTGAATGGCAAAGCACACAGAAATGTTCCACCCTTTTTGAATAAGAAAATAAAAGAAAGATACAGTACAGTTTTTACTGTTGTATGATCCAAAGGAACAAGAGGATTCAATAAAAAATATTTTTCTGTGATGATGACCTGAGAATATATCATTCATGTTTCATGCTTGCCTTGGAAAAAACCAAGCAGCTTTGCAAGCAGAATTTTATAGCACACTCATCCTATCACTAGCACTAATTTTAATATGCAGCCTGAATTGACCCTCTAGAATTGCAGAAAAAAGTTTGTATCAAGTGCAGAAAGCCTGGATGAAATTCATGTCTGAGTCTAAAATAAACGATGAAAACACCCTTGCTCATACGTAACACTGCAATGTAAAGTATTTAACCCTTCTGGCAATGTGCTGCCTTTGAGAGAAGAAGTAAAAACAGCAGAAATAAGTTTGGGAAACAAAACTGTAACAGTGACTGTTGCTTCTGGCTGGCAGAAATACATCAACCAAAATTAAAGGTAACCTAATAATAATTTTCCAGCACTACATTAAGAGGCGGCAGATTTGTACAGCCAAACAAAGCACACTAAAATAGATCCCCAGAACTCTTGGGATGGAGAAACTTACTGGTTTATACAGTCCATTTTAAGAAAATACAGATATCTATGAAGTACTAAACAATCACTTTCTGAAAATGGTATCTAAGGAAAGGAGCTTAAAAAGGACCATTAGGATTGCACTTCATCATAATATGAGTGTAAAATAGCTACAGAAGAATGTTGCAGCCTGTGGGTAACAACAGAGGCATCTATGGTGATAATAAGAAAACACTGCAATGTTAATACTAGTGAAAGACTGCAAAAAAAATATTGGAAGCTTGATGGAGTGGTTTCATTTTCATTCTGCTCACTAGTGAAGATCATATGTCTTCAGTCATGCTGTTTACATATCCTTAAATAATCTCTAATTTCAGAAAGTAACTTCACCTCCTTTGAAATGACCTCTAAGTGCAAAGGTGCACTAACATTATTGGCATGCTGTTTCTCCTGGACCTAATTTAAATAAATAAGCTATATCTTCTTTTAAAACAAGGTGCTATTAAATATCTTTTGTTCTCTAGCTGCAAAATGAAACCTATGTATAGCAACATATACATGATATGAATAAAAGCAAGACTGAGTGAAGTCTTATCCGAGTGAGTGATCATTGATGATAACACATTTTTGGCAAGGCAGTCAAACAGTTCAGCTAAACCTATTATATTTGTAGAAAATTTATTTTACAGGCCAAACAATTTCTCCTTTTCTCCCTCAATGCCATAGCATAGTGTTACAAAATAAATATTTGAAAATTTTTATCTAAGGCAGAATCATCATATTCTACAGGATGAGAACCCAGAAACACATGTCATCAAGTCATTACAAAGTGAACTGGAATAATCATTACCATAAAAATAATTCAGATCATCGGAAAAAGCATAAAATTTTCTTGCAAACCCATTCATGAAACCCCAGTTGACAAGGTTGCATTAAATAAATTTTGTATCCACTTAATTTTAATTATACCTTTCTTGTTAGGATGTGCAAATTTTAATATATAAACACAAACATGCCCAGCTCAAAATGTGAAATTTACAGCAAATCCATCATTAGAGCAAATTCAAACACCTAAGCTCTCCTGTGAGTATGTTATGGGAGACAGCTTCAAAAGCCTTGCTGAAGTTGAGGTAGACAACATCCACTGCTCTCCCCGCACCTGCTCAGCTAGTCACACCATCACCAGATTGATCGAGCTTGATTTCCCTTTGATGAATCCATGCTGACTCCTTCTGATAACATTCTCTTCCTCCATATGCTTAGAGAATAAACTGTTCCACCAGCTTTCCAGAGATGGAGGTGAAACTGACTGGTCTATAATTTCCTGGGCCCTCCTTCTTGCCTTTATTGAAGACTGGAGTGACATTGGCTTTCCTCCAGTCCTCAGGCACCTCCCCTATTCTCCATGACATTTCAGAGATACAGAGTGGCTTAGTGGTAACATCTACCAGCTCCCTCAGCACTTGTGGGCGCATCCCATTAGGGCCCAAGGATTTATGGGCATCCACTTTGCCTAAACAATCTCTCAACCAATCCTCATCGACCTTCCTCTAGACTTTCTCTCTTACCTCCAGGGACTGGGGTTCCTGAGGGCCATTCTTAGCAGTAAAAACTGAAGCAAAGAAGCCATTCAGTAGCTCTGCTTTCTCTGTATCCTCCACCATCAGATCGTGTATTCTATGCTGGTACACATATAAATATTACTCACAGCCATCCTAAACAACAACCGGTTAATTCCTCACAAACTTTAATTAGGAAAAGAAGTTAAAGGAACTCGTAGGGTAAACTGCCAGCAGAGAAATGATAGGGCTCAATGCTATTTTTAAGTTAAATAGTACTCACTGGGATTACTCAAGGACTATATCTGGGTACCCAAGAGCATGCAAGTGTATAAACTCAAACCTTAAGTTGTTGCCACAAGTGATCAAACACAGTTGCACATATTTAAATGACTATACTGATTTTAATATGTATCCAACACAAATCCTATTGTAGCCTGCTTTAGCCATTCCAGTTTATAAATACTGGACAGTTTTTAAGAACTGTTTAAGTTTTTAAGTGTTTATTTTTTTCATAAAGATTTCAAGAGTGTTCAAACTGAAAATCACACTTCCAGTGTGTTGTCTAGCCACTTTTGTTTTGTTTTGTTTGTGTGCTGAAAAAGGGTTTATTGCTCAGAGGAAGAAGATCTTCATAAAATTTAATGCGTGAAACCCACAGAAAGGATTTATATTGTTCTTCAGTTGAGACTGGAAAAATCTTTAAAACAATACCAAGAAATTGATATCCTCTCTGTCAGAAAGCAGAATCAGTGTCTCCTCACAACCCCAACTTGTAACCAGATTTTAGTTTTGGTATGAGAGCTCTAAGAGGGTTCCAGCAGCCTTCATGCTGGAGTCTGCCATTTAACCTCCAAAAAAAAAAAAAAAAAAGATAAACCTCTCCAGAAGAGAGGAATTAAGGTTGCAAATTGAGCTGATCTGAGGGAGGAACATAAAGACTGATAACAAAAGCGAACGCTGGGGAGTAGCTGTTCAGACCATGTATTCTGATGAGAAAGGCATCTGTCCACATATCTGCCCACAGACCTTTTTTATTCAGAAACTACATTTGCAGAAACTACAGCACAGTCTTTCCATTCCTACTAAGTGCTGTATTGGACAAGAACAGTCAACTCTTCCACTGAAATCAACAGGAACAGAGTCCCCTTGGCTCAAGGAAAGCTCTCACTCTAGTGAGGGTTGTTTGAAGAATTTCAGGATGGCAGCTGGTGCAAATTGTGTCTCCATGCTTACACAGACAGTCAGCTTGTTTGTGCTATATGTCCACTTATTATCAAATAGAAACAAAGGAACTGCGGATACTTCCAAATAAAATGAAAGAAAAATTATTTGGAAGCCTTTGTAATAGAACTAAGGTATTGGAAGTGTTTGCATGCAAGCATAATTCATTACATCTTTACTAGGATCCCTCAAGATATCAGCCATCTGCTCAGAATGGAAAAAAGAAGATGTAGCAGAGTTTGGGAATAATGAATCAACAAAGAATACATACTCAAAAATAGGGAAAAAACTCTCAAAACCCATATACAGCAAATACTTCACTGTAAAGCTCAGCTAAATTCTTCATTAAAAGCATGTGTATTACATATGGCTACCTTCATTAGACTGCAATTCAAAAATGGGAAAGACATAAAACAAGGTTGCTCATGGTACCCCTGCAGTGTTGAACAGCAAAACATAGTCTTTGGGAAAGTTAAAAGCCTCAGAGGAAACCCAGAATACTTACACTCAATGACTGAAATAAAACATTGGCATAATTTGATTTCTCTGGCTCTGGAGTTTCTTTGTTTATTTACAGGGGAGGAAGATGGTAAAATAAAGAGTTCTTGAGATTATGTACATGTTTATTGTGGTACTGAACCTTCATTTAGGCAGGTTGGAAAGCACTCCACAAGTGAAAACTTCTACTGTGCAAACCTTTGAGTTAATTGATGCATCGGTCATTTACCTAGGGATCATTTTATCCACATAAAATTAATTGATTAACAAGGCAAACTATTCCACGTATGTTGAAAAAAATTTATAAACAGAAGAGAAACCACTAAATTAAACGCTGC